GAGTGTGTGTGTGTGTGTGTGTGTGTGTGTGTGTGTGTGTGTGTGTCGGGGGCAGGTTTGCAGTGAATCAATTTTATTTCATGAGAAAAAGCTTCTGCTGAAATGTTTATGCTTTGTCTTTGGTGAGAAAGACAGGCAACCCTGGGTCCATTGGGAGGCAGCTGCATGGAGCTGTACTCCCCAGAAGGCCCTTGGAAAGGGTGTGGCACGGCCATGCAGGCTAGCAGGCAAGGCGAAAGGAGGAGCAGGGCTCACAACCCTCCCTGCTAGGGCCAGACCCAGACCCAGACAGGCCCCTATTGTCACAGTGAAGCGCCAGCTCTGCTACACTGGAGGCCGAGCCCTGCTTTCTGCTTAGAGTCCAACTCTGCTAAAAGCCATGGGCTTGGTGGGATTGTCTTGAAACCTGCTGCCTGTCATGGTTGAGCAAAGTAGCGCTAGTGACTGCGATTTTGGAGTGGTTGATTAAGAGAGTCCTGACACAGCCCCCACAACAGCCCGGAAGAAAACACGCGATGTTACAAAATCCCTGCTTTCTTCTTCTGTCAGCAGCTGGGGGCAGCTGCTCCCCAAACCGGTCTCAGCAGCTCAGGGGTTTCTCTCAGAGAGTGCCTGCCCCTGCCTGCCTCTCTGGGGAAGTGATACTGAGAAATTTATTGGGGCAGAGAGCTCAATGCCTGGAGGCATTTTAGGGTGGTTTTTTGCACTTCCCCAAGGTGTCCCACAACAGGCCCAAGTGAGCTGAGACTCCCATGAGAAGGCAGGCCCAGGGACTCTGTACGCGTGTCCCTGTCCTAGACAGCAGCACAATTAAAAACAGCTTCTTTAGGCAGGGTCCGTTTGAACACTGCAGTGTTCAGAGCTTCCCTGGGCTCCTGGTTGGTAAAAGCTCCCATTCAGTCACTGGATCTTCCTTTGTCTCCCCAGGGCTCTTCATTCATGAACCAATTTTCATTCAGCTCTTGCCAGCCATTCCCTACTATCCTAGTCACATCTCTCAGCCCTCCCGGCCCTCCCTCTCCACCCCTGACCCTGGGGAGAATTTGTCTTTTGCTTTCCATGGGCAGCATTACAAACTGAGCAGATAAGCGGAGTCACACACACAATTCATAAAGACACCAGTACCAAGGTAGACACTACCCAGGTTGATACCAAGGTGGTATCGTTCTACAACCCCTGTTTACTGGGGCCAGTGATGGCCCATCTGATTTTTCTACCTGACCTGTGAAAAAATTGGACCGATTCTGTCCAAGAGAACAGCCAACAAACGGGCTTTACATTTGCACACCGCTATTATCTGCCAACTACTGCAGGATGAACAGACCTCAGCCAGGGTTTCCCCTGTTCCAACCCATGCTACGTCCCTGACACACTGGTATTGCTTATTCATAGCCCTGGAGTTTAAGGCCAAAGGAAACCATCAGGTCATCAGGTGACCCAGTGCCAGGAAATTTCACCATGATAAAGGCATCTCTTCCATGAAGGTCCCAGCCGTGATCTGAAGAATACAGAAAACATTGCTTCCTGTAGCAGTTTGTTCCACAGGTTTATCACCCTTGATCACTGCTACCAATTTCAACTTTTACTTCCTGTTTGAATTTGCAAGATTTCTGCTTTCAGCCAGAGGTTCTGTTCTGCTTTTCTCTGCTGGATTTAAGAGGCTGTTAAACATTTTCTCCCTGTGAGGACACCTGCACGCTGTAATCAAGTCTCCCCTCAATCATTTTGATAAGCTAAATAGACCAGGCTCTGACGGTCTCTCACTGCCAACCGCACCTTGTCATGCATCCACAGATGCATCTCGAGCAGGTCCAAGGAGGTGATCCTCCCCCTCTATGTGGCACTGGTCAGGCCGCAGCTGGAGTACTGCATCCAGTTCTGGGTGCCGCACTTCAGGAGGGATGTGGACAACATGAAGAGGGTCCAGAGGAAGGCCACTCGCATGATCGGGGGCAGCAGGGCAGGCCCTACGGGGAGAGGCTACGGGACCTGAACCTGTTCAGCCTCCACAAGAGAAGGCTGAGGGGGGATCTAGTGGCCTGTTACAAACTAGTCGGAGGGG